GGCCGCGGGGAGGGGGTGGGCCACTGCTAACTTGGGGGGGGCCGGCTGCCTTATCGGGGCTGTCAAAGAGCTGGCCGTGTTTGCCTTTCAGGGCTTGGCGTACCTGTCTCGGGGCGGCTGACCCAACCCTAGTGCGGGGGGAAAAAGCCACGATTGTGCGAGCGCTCTCCTCGAAGTCGGGGCTTTTTCGCAAATTGGACTGAAAAGAGAGACGAGCCACCTTGCCTGCCCCTGAAATCACTCCTCATCCTTATCGGGGCTGTCAAAGAGCTGGCCGTGTTTGCCTTTCAGGGCTTGGCGTACCTGTCTCGGGGCGGCTGACCCAACCCTAGTGCGGGGGGAAAAAGCCACGATTGTGCGAGCGCTCTCCTCGAAGTCGGGGCTTTTTCGCAAATTGGACTGAAAAGAGAGACGAGCCACCTTGCCTGCCCCTGAAATCACTCCTCATTGGCTGCGGTGACTGTGCCTCTGGCGGCTTAGCTAGTGGCAACCTGAAGTGCGCTCGCTATGGCTAGCGAAGACAAACAGGTTCTTCAGCCAACAGGTGATGGTGGAGGAGGAGGGAAAGGAGGAAGTGCTGCTGAAGTGGGGAATATGCTGCAGCCCTTGAACCCAGGAGTCCCTATCCGAGGCATCAGGATGAAATTTGCAGTGCTGACGGGACTGGTGGAAGTTGGCGAAGTATCCAACAGGGATATCGTGGAAACTATATTTAATCTGGTAAGCGGATCATCTTTCTAACGCTCTATCAGGAGGTGAAGGTGAAAGTAACCAAATACACAGAGAAGAGAAGCAAGAAAAAACTTGCATTATTTTCTTTTCTGACTCTTTCCTTGTTATTTATTTTCACTCTTATAAATACTAACTAATGGATTCTGGCTAGATTCTCTTTTTGCTGCTTACAGATTTTGTAGATACTAAAGGTAACATGCATGTCTGTGTATTATAAAGCTTTTAACAATTGTAAATAGGCGTCAATCTCATTTGCCTGGGGGAAGCTGTAGCTTTTTGCAGTAGTATTTGAGAAACACATCAAAGTGCAATGTAATATACAGTGTTCAACATGTTCAATTGAAGAAGAGGTAACAGCAAAACATGTTAAGTCTCTTGCAACACTTTCCCCATGAAGGTGTAATATTTATGGGCTTGTCTCTAAAGTCAGCAAGTGATAATCCTTTTTTCTTTTATGCATGGAATTTTCATAGTTAAAGGTAGTGGGTGTCCATAGGGACTACTTGGAATATTAGCAAAAGTTATTGTTCAAGTAGCCTTATTAACTATAAAGTAACCAGATTGCATATGGAATTTTCAGTTCAAATTAGTATAGCTTGAATAAAGAATATACTGATTTTAAAAAATATATATTTATTTAGGAAGTTGCCATTTAAACATCAGACATAAAACAATAATTATGAAACCAGTGAGCTTTTGCTTAGTATAACGATAATATAAACATCAGGTCTCTTTCTGTAGTGTGATGTTATATTAGAGCGAGCATCTTTACATTACTATGACATTGTTTTAGTAGACAAGTTTTCAATAGCTTCAGGGTGTAGTTCATAATAAGCAGTATTGAAAACTGTAGGTATTGTTCTGAGTAATCAGCAGCACAGTAGTATAAATAATTCTCAACACCATACTAAGCAAACAGACCAGTTTTGTCTGAATATCTAACACTTGGGCACCCTATTTAGTGTATCTAACTTTTTCTTCTTTAAATTTTTACAACAGAGTGCTACTTTTGCTTGTGGCCTCTCAACTGCTAGTACATGGTTAATGAACATATTGGTATTATTCTTAAGTTGTGTGCTTGCTTTTGATAGATGTCTGAGACTGAGGCTTCTGACAAAGCAGGAAGTGAGAGCACATGCAACAAGTTTAAAACTTGTAGTAAGAAAAGGTCACTTTTACTGAAGAAAGTATATTACTATCTGTACTTCAGGGTTTTTTTTGTTAGCAATGTGCTTTTGCCCATACTTCAGAGTAATAATCTTAACATCTATATTTCTTAGGTCTGTTTATTGACTGTCTGGTTTTTGACTATCTTAATTTGATTGTTTTAAAAATATATAGTTTTCAATATATTTGTGTGTTGGGTTTCAGATTAATAAGTATTGCCCGTTAACATGCTATTTTAGTATTAAAAAGTTGCTGGATCAAGAAGAGAGAGCAAGCAAAGGATCATTAGAATATATGTGTGATTAATGTACACCACCTAAACTTCAGAGAGGGAGTAGGTGCAAGCCATAATCAGTTAGGTTCCCTAAATACCTCAGGTAGGAGAAGTGGAATTCAGTTATTTGCAAATGCTTATTCTACAGTAAACTCAGCTTTAAAGAATGTGAAAGGGAAGGCTCACAGGGAATAGCTGGTGGAGACTTCATTATTTAGAGCAGTGGTCCCCAACCTTTCGTGGCTGCTGGGCGCATGGGGACGGGGCCACTCACGCACCAGGTGTCCGGGGGCGGAGCTGCTCACGCACTGCATTTCCGGGGGTGGGGCCACGCGTGTGCTGTGTGCCTGGGGGTGAGGCCGCCCATGCGCCCTGTGCCCGGGGCCGGCATTGTGTATTTGCCGCGCGCCTGGGGGCAGGGGCTGCCCACATGCCATGTGCCTGGGCCGGCACCATGCATGTGCTGCGCGCCGGGGGTGGGGCCAGCCCAGATGTTTCGGCGGACTCACATAAATGCCCTGGTGGGCGCTGCGTAGGGGACCACTGATTTAGGGCTATAAAGAGCAAATCCAGTTGTCCATATAGGAAGTTCCACCATATTCTGGCACATTGTTTTCATACTTTGAGGACCATTAGTCAAAGGTGAGATGTCGGAGTGGCTGGAAGAATTTGAGCGAAACTTCAGAGATGTGGAAGTCACTATTAATTGCTACCGTTTTTGGCTCTGTTTGAGGTCTTCTATCATCTCCTTCCCGTTGCACCATAGAGAAGCATCATTTAAAAATGATGGAAAGCCAGTGGCCTTGAACCAATGATCTCTACCACTCACAGAGCATAGATGGTTTTTAACTCTTTCACATAGCTTCCCTGGATCAGAATGCAGTGGAGGGGAAGCTGAATAGCTAAACCACTGTTATGCCCTACTTAGAAACTTCACCCAAGCATCACACCTCCTTCCCTTTAACAGGTTCACTTGCTCAAAGCTACATGTTCTTAAGAATATGAGAGTGGCCATAGAGTGTCAGGCCAATGCTCCATTTAGTTCAGTATCCTGTCGTCCAACAACGGCCTATACCAGGTGCTTCAGAGGGAATGAACAGGCTAATGTATAGTGTCCAGTCCTAGATTTTCAGTGATCAGAGATTTAGGGATACCCAGAGCATGGGGTTAGATCACTGACCATCTTGACTAATAGTTGTTGCTGTACCTGTCCTCTATGAACTTACCTAGTTCTTTTTGGAGCTCAGTTCTATATTTGGCCCGCACAGAATCCATCGGCAGTGACTTCCAGAGGCTGATTGTGTGTTGTGCGAAGTCAGGCGTGCCCAAGGGGGAGCATATGGGGCAGTTGTTCCAAGCCCTGGTGATTCAAAAGGGCCACGGGCTGCTGGTTATTACCACCCCAATTGCAGCTATGGTGGGAGCTGGAGTCCTGGCCCTTTACATTGCCATTGGGGCTCTGTGCTACACATTCCAGGTGACTCTGAGGACTGATTGGGGGGGTGGGAGGGAAGGGCAGTGCTGAGGGCTAGCTCCCTCCAGCCTTGTCCCTTCTACCTGAGGCCCTGCACATTCAAAGAGCATGAGTATAGAGCTACTCTTTCTCCCCCCCCCCCCCACCTTGGCCAGGGTCCCAGTTCGTCTGTTGGCCCTCCTGTGTATAGTACTTGCTTTGTGTTTGTTTTAAACTTGCTGCCTGTTCATGTTTTTGGGTGACACCTGGTTCTTGTGTTTTATGAAAGGAAAAAAATAACATTTCCTTATTTGCTTTCTGTACATCATTCATGATTTTGTAGACTTTTATCACATCCCTCTCTGTCATCTCTTTTCTTGCTGAATGGTCCCTGATATGGAAGTTGTTTCAATCTCGAATCATTTTTATTTCCTTTCTGTTTTATCCAATTCTGTTTTTTTAAAACAAGGCAACCAGAACTGTATGAAATATTCAGTGTGTGGGTGTAGCATGAATTTATGTAGTGACATTGTTATTTTCTGTCTTACTCCTTTCTTAATGGTTCTTAACATTGTTGACTTCTTTAACACTTGAGGCATATTGTGTGGAAGTTTTCAGAGTGATATCTGCAATGATTCCAAGATCTCTTTGAGTGGTAACAGCTAATTTAGACTGCATAATTTCTTATATAAGGTTGTTTTCCAACATGCATTTATCAATATTAAATTTCACGTGCCATTTTGTTGCCTAGTCACTCAGTTTTTCCTTTGTAACTTTTAGTGAAAGCAGACTGCAGTCTTGAGTAATTTTGTATCATCTGCAAACATTTCCACCTCCTTGTCTATCCCTTTCCCCAGATGATTTATGAATGTTGAACAGCATTGGTACCAGTACAAATCCTTAGGGAGACTCTTCACTGTAAAAAATGATCTGTGTGTTCTTACTCTTTGTTTCCTGTGTTGTAACCTGTTATTGATCTATGAGAGAGGATCAACCATCTGATCCCATGACTGCCTATTTTGCTTAAGAGCCTTTGGCAAGGAACTGTGTCAAAAGGTTTTCTGCATGTCCAAATATGCTACATCCACTGGATTTACTCTTGTATACATGTCTGTTTATCCACCTCAGATAATTCTAGTAGATTAGTGAGGCATGATTTCCTTGACAAAAGTCATGTTGATTGTTCCTCAACATACTGTGTTTGTCTCTAGCTATGTTTACATTATGGGTTTTTTCTGGGATACCAGAGGTATATTCACCTCTTGGACCAGATCCTGTTCATCACTTAGGACTAAATCAAGAGTTTCTTTTTCCTTCTGAGTTCCAAAAATAGCTGCCCAAGAAGTTGGGGATCCATCTGATCCCAGGCTCCATGCAGCGCTACCCCGTTGAAACGCCACCGCAGCATTTCAAAGGGGAGGCGCATGCAATTAATCGCACGATTACATTTTTTAATTGTGCAATTAATCGCAATGAAATTTTTTAATCACTTGACAGCTGTTAAATTAATAGTATATCAACAGGAATATACTACTAACTACCTGACTAGGATGGTGACCGTGACCATCGGGGGGATCAGAGAGGTTACAAACAGAAAATAATGAGATTTA